CTTGAGGCCTTTGTAGGAAAAAGGCAGGATATAAATCGGAAAATAAAAATAAAATAAAATAAATATGCTGCCCAATTGCCAAAGCTCTATGGACAGTTGACAATTTGCAAAAACAGGCAAACAATAATCCCACACAGTACAGATACAATAAAAACAGAACAAATTTAAACACATTCAATGCATTCAGTAAACTAGGTGACTCCAGACAGAAGCGGCACTATCCAGCCCAATGCCTTTAAGGCCATTAAATTCCCTTGGCACGGATGGCAGTCTTAACCTGGCATTAGAAGGTGGTGCCAGGCAGGCCTCAGTGGAGCAATTGCTCCATCAGTGAGGGGCTGCCACCGAGAAGGCTCTTCCTGGTTGCCAAACCTCCCGCAGCTCAGAAAGGCCTCAGAGGTTGACCTTCGTGAGCTGCACCAGTTATGCAATTTCCCTACAAGAGAAGAAGGCAGGCTTCCGGCTCTGCAAAGCTTTCGTAAATCCATGCGTTGCATACCTAAAATAAATATAATTTAACTTAATGCACTTTCTGTTGGGTTCACATGGAGGGCCTCCATGTAGGGCAAATTTCTGGCCCAATCAGAGAACCCCCTTGGATGGAGGTGCCCCATGCTCTTCTCTTAGCTTGTGCGCAGGTCTCTAGACATGGAGATGACTGAGCGGCAGGCATGCCAAGTCCACTGGTGCCCTGCTCCGATGCAGATTGCAGCATCCACGCGATGCAGCAGTTCAGGCAAGAGGATGGATGGCAGCTGAAGCAGCTCCAGAGCAGAGCAGGTAGAAAACTCCAGGCAAGGCCATAGGTGCTGACATGGGACTGAGGGACCAGCTTCAGGACCACGGAGAGCAACCCTGCACCTCAGTCAGAAGGGTTGCTCCTGCACTGGCTTCCGGCAACTAACTCGGAGTCCTTCCAAAAGCTCCGCCTCCTCAAGTGCTGCATCTGCCCGCCTTTTAAAGGGCAAGCGCCCTTTCCCACAGCCCTGGCCTCTTCTGAGTGGCGAGGGTCAAAGTGGGGTGAAGATCTGGTTGAGAAAGGCTTCCCAGAGCTCCTTGCTACTGGGCCCATCCAATCCAAGGCTGTTGCCTTGGAGTCAGAAGGCAGCAGTGCCTCCAGAGGACTGAGTGGGGAGGATGTGGGATCACAAGTGAAGGGGCCTCCTTGTGAAGATCTGGGAAATGGTTGTGAATCCATCTGGAAGTCTCTTCTCTTGGAAGCCTCGATCTCGGAGGACTACTGGACCTGGGCAATGACACCTGGCCGCTGAGCCAGTCTCCTTGCCCATGCGGCCCTCTCTCCTATTCTTTGAAAGCACGAGGGGCTGCCTCAGCCCCAGAATGTGTGGCAAGGAATAGCCTTCAGGAAACCACAGCTCTCCAGAGATGTTTTTTTCAGGAGGCAAAGGGGCTCTGACCAATTATTAGCATGATAGTTAGTATTATCATTGTCCTTTCCATACTACCCAATAGCCAACACTCTCTGGGCAGTTTGCAATAATTATTATAGTTACAATCATAAAGCTGGATAAACAATAAATACACATTCAATAAATGCAGCATAGAATTCCAATGTGCAAAATGTAAAACCATTAAAATTAGAACAATTTTGAATTTTAAAAGATTTTAAACATCTATCCACAGCCTAACATCCATGTTTTGCAGTCATGGGCTTGTGCAGGAAATTTTGCAGGGGGTGGGAGTTTTTGTATATGTGACTAGAAGAGCTTTTTAAAGGGAAAACTGGAACTGCACGGTGGTATTGGATTGTCATTTGTGCACATACCGTGTGCTCTTTTATTTATTTATTTATTTATTTATTTATTTATTTATTTAGGAGACTTCTATGCTGCCCCATTCTCCGAAGACTCGGGGTGGCTCACAACCATAAATAAACTTCAAAATAGAATAATATAAATTAACAATATAAATTAAGTCGCCCTGGCCAAAGAATAAAATGAATAAATAATATTAACAATTAAAATAACATTTGAATAAAAAGGACTTTGGCGCCGAAAAACAAATAACAACGGCACCAGGCGGACCTCTCTGGGGAGTGCATTCCATAGATTGGGTGCCACCGCAGAGAAAGCCCTCCTCTGAGTACCTACCTTCCTAATTTCCTTCACGGAGGGTTCCCGGAGAAGGGCCTCTCCCGCAGATCTCAAGGGGCGGTCAGGCGTATATGGATGTAAGCTCTCCTTCAGGTTACCAGGACCCAAGCCATTTAGGGCTTTATAGGTCATCACCAACACCTTGAATTGGGCCTGGACTTCAATGGGAAGCCAGTGAAGCCGATGGAGGACTGGAGTCATGTGAACATAACGCCCAGTCCCCGTCAGCAGCCTGGCAGCTCTATTTTGAACCAATTGAAGTATCCGGACCGTCTTCAAGGGAAGCCCCACGTAGAGCGCGTTACAGAAGTCAAGTCGGGAAGTCACCAACACGTGTGTCACTGTTGCCAGGCAGTCGTACTCCAGGTAGGGGCACAGCTGATGGATCAGCCGAAGCTGAAAGAAAGCGCTCCTTGCCACCGCTGTCACCTGAGCTTCCAGTGAAAGCTCTGGGTCGAGGAGCACTCCCAAGCTGCGAACCTTGTCCCTAAGAGGGAGTGCAGCCCCATTCAGGACTAGGTTCAATTCATCCTCCCCGAAGCCCGATCCGCCAACCAACAGGACCTCTGTCTTGTCTGGATTGAGCTTCAGTTTATTGGCCCTCATCCAGCCCATTACCTCGGCCAGGCACCGGTTCAGCACAGCCACTGCCTCACCTGGATTGGTGGAAAACAAGAGGTAGAGCTGGGTATCATCAGCGTACTGATGGTTCCACAGCCCACACCTCCTGATGACCTCTCCCAGCGGTTTCATGTAGATGTTAAACAGCAAAGGGGACAAAATGGATCACTGCAGTACTCCATGGCATAACTGCCATGGCACAGAGCCATAGTCCCCCAGCACCACCTTCTGGAATCGGCCATTGAGATAGGAGCGGAACCACTGCAAAGCAGTGCCTCCAACCCCCAATCCTGCTGGCCTATCCAGAAGGATACCATGGTTGATGGTATCGAACGCCGCTGAGAGGTCCAGAAGAACCAACAGGGACGCACTCCCCCTGTCCTTCTCCCTGCACAGGTCATTGTACAGGGTGACCAAGGCAGATTCAGTACCGTACCCAGGTCTGAAGCCGGACTGAAATGGGTCCAGATAATCAGTTTCATCCAAGAGAGCTTGGAGTTGTCCCGCCACCACCCGCTCTAACACCTTGCCCAGAAACAGGATGTTGGCCACTGGTCTATAATTAGTGGCCATCTCTGGATCCAGTGATGCTTTCTTCAGGACCGGTCAGACTACCGCCTCCTTTAAAGGGGCAGGTACCCAACCGTCCCTCAGAGAAGCGTTAACCACTTCCAAGATCCAGATCCCAATCCCGTGCTTGGCGTTGTTTATTAACCAAGATGGGCAAGGGTCCAACAGGCAAGTGGTGGGACGTACTCGTCCAAGCACCTTGTCCACATCATCAGGCCGCAATAACTGAAATTCATCCATTAATTTTGCACTTCTGTGCATTTTCTGGGTTGCACAGAGTCACATTCCATGGCATTTAGAAGCTTAGAGAGTGAGGCCAAAGAGCCCCAGACTGGGAATTTGACAGCACAAATGCAGAAGAGTGTTAGATGCAAACTTCCCACAAGAGGCATCTTGAGGGCTGGCAAAACTTTATTTGGAATGAGGGACATAACAGGCCTAAGAGCAGATCCAGATCAGCAGTCTCTGTTAAGCATGTCATTTTGGATACCTCCTGGCGTCTCTGCCCTTACAGCATTGCCAGCATGGGGGTCACACTGTTCTAGAACGAGGGTGCAGCCCTTCAGGCCTGGCCCAATCCAGCTCTCTGGGGACAGGTCCTTGGCTTTTGCCCCAGAAAGCCATGTCCTCTTCCTTGGCCACGCATCTGTTGCTGGTTTAGAGGCTGACCTGGGTTGGCAAGTCCACAAGAGCTCAGCCACCTTTCCCTTGGCTTTCCTGGATGAATTGCTCCAGCCCTGGCTTGTGGGGCAATGCCTGCTAACAGCGAGCTGTGATTCACTGTACAGAGAAGCGGCCCTTTGATGCTCTGAGGTCTGCACAAAGCCAGTCAGCCCACTTCATGCTGCTCTAGTTGTGACTTGGGCCTAGCTTGCATCCGATGCACCCAGCTTGAGTCCAATATAGCATTGCAATGTTCATGCAAGAATGTTTTTTCTACAGTCGCATGCTTGCAGCCATTGCTCAGGACTGTGCAAAGCAGCTAGTCCCTGTGAGGTCTAATGCGCTGTGTGTGTATTATTTGCCACTAAGGAAGAAATTTTAATTATGGCATGAGTCAATGATAAGATGCCCAAGGCCAAGCTTGCCTGGATCAGGCACTCTGTATTCTGAAAGCACTGCTACAGTTGCAGGGAGGCAGCTTGACTACTTGCTGGTAAGAAAAATGCAGTCTGCACATGCTCAAAAGCCCTCTCATCTATATAATTACTTCAGTTGTTTCAGCATAAGCCTGGCCATTGAAATAAATACTTCCAGGGCTGAGGTCAGGATACAGGATTCAAGCTTGCAGGGGAGAAAGCAGTCTTGGTTCTAATTACCCTTTCTGAGTTTGATGGCTTCATCTTTCTTCCCGCTGTGTGATGCCTCTACTGATGCTTTCCCATTGAGGCAATTGGCTAACGCCAGTGGAAGCAGCCATTAAAATCTCTCCCTGTCCCACATAGGTCACGTCCTTTAAAACCTCAGGACGTCTATAAATAAATGTATATTCAGATAACGCAGGCAGCAAGCAAGGAGCAATCAACCATGAAATCACTGGTTAAGCCTAAAATGACAAAGCTGGGTTTTTTTCTCTTTTTTCTTTTTCTTTCTTAAAGCCAAGACAATGCATACGATTTCTTTCTCTCTTCTTCTTTTCTTTGCAGTGCTGTGAAAAACGAATTGTGTTTTATTTTGGGATTTCTGTCATCCTAGGTATTTTGGAAATATTTGCTGTGTCTCAGGGGATTGTAGGAATACGAGGAGTTTTCAGCAACAAATTTTTAGCGATGTCAAAAAAAGGAAAACTCCATGCAAGTGTAAGTAAACAAAGAAATGATGGCAAACTGCATGTCCAGAATTTGTTGAAATGTTTCTGTGGGGAATGGGGAAGAAATCACTGTAGAAGATCATTTGATTTTGCAGACCTGAATGCATGTATGAAAATGCAGGACAGGAAGAGAGGGATACCTCCTGCAGACCTTAAACACCTCATCCCAGGTGCTCTAACTTTTGACACAGCTTGCAGAATATGATTCACCAACCATGTATAGCATGGTTCTTTCAGCCAGAGGATGAATGCACATTTTAGAGATGCTCGCAGGGATCAGCGTTTGGCCTGTGGTTAAGGATGGAATATGGGTTGAGTGTGAGTTGTCGTTGAACTGGAGGTTTTTCTTGAAACTTGGATCTGAGCCCAGTTGTGCTAATGAACTATGGTTTGTTAATCATGAATATGAAGTGATGAACATGGCTTGTTGCTGGGTTGTGAGCTGTGTGTGGCTCTTGGTTAACCAACCATGGTTTGTTCTGACAAGGTTCTGACAACACGATGATGCATTTTTCAAAGACAACCCATGTTCAGTCCCTGAGTGTTGGTTATTGTGCTGTCTGAATCCAGCTGAACAAACAAGCCATGGTCATGAAAACCCATGGTTTCTTGGATTGTGAATTGTGGTTTGTGTACCATGATTTGTGAGCTAGTTACTGGGTAGAATGTTGGACTGACACCTGGAAGATGTGGCTTCTACCCCCCGCTCAGCCATGGAGCCAGCTGGGTGACTTTGGGCCAGTCATAGGCTCTTAACCAAAGCTACCTCACAGGGTTGTTGCCATGAGGATAAAATGGAGAAGAGAACCTTGTAAGCCATCTTGGGTTCCTTGCAAAAGGAGAAAAGGTGCGCTGTAAATGTAATGCAGCAGCGACAGCAGCAGCAGCAACCACCTCGACTGGGTTCAGATGCTATAAGAACCTACAGTGCGAGAACAACTCAGAGTTCAGTGACAACCCGCACAGCCCTTGAGTGTGGGTTATCCATGATGTCTGAACTCCGCCAGAATGCGCATCCTTGACCATCACAGCAGATTCTGGGAGCGTTCGCTCAGGTTGCACAAGCTCTCTGCCCTTACCTGGGCTCCTTGGGAAATGACACTGCAGGACAATTCAGAGCTTACTGGTTACTTGATGGATTTCTTAAACTGCATCCCAGGTGAGTGTCTGGCCAATCGGTTTGTATGAGCCATGCAAATATTTGCTAGAAGCAAACACATTGCAAATCCTGCTTTGCTTTGCCGTGCTCCACGTAAGAGCTGTTTCGTGAATTCTACTGCATTTGTCAAGTCCCACCTGGGTTTGGTAGCTCCTATTTAGATGGCCAGCAGAAGAAATAAATTCTGCTTGCAAGACATTAAAACTGAGTATCTGTCACATGAGCCTGGATTTCCAGCTCTGGTTTAGCAAAGTTTATTTTGCTAAACAAGGGTATTCTGTACTGTGCTCTTCATGGGTTAGATCTGATTTTTCTATCACCTTGGGCTGAATTTTCTGGAGCGTGAATTATAGAATGCCCACTGCACTGTGCTTTTCTTCCTTATCAATCTGAAATTATTTTGTTATTTCACATTAAAGCTTTGACTTATGATTTAGTGGCATCCAAAATTAAATTAAGACCCTTCCTTGGTTTCTGGTTAATTGCTCTAAGCAAGATGTGGTATTATAGTGGACACAGGTCTTCAGACAGATCAGCCTGAAAGGTTATGACCTACAATTTTTCAACCAAAGCAGTGCAAGAAATTACTCGAAACCTGAGCCGAACATCTAAGGATCACTGGGCTAAATAATGCAGAGAATACAAAAACAGCATCTGTTGTTCTTCCTTTCCTACTTTGGCAGGATGAAGTTATTTTGCAGGCTAATGAATTTGAGGAAGAAGAAAGAGATGCTGTGCCTGTCATTCACAGAAGCTCTTTGATATCAACATCTTGATTACTTCTAGCTGAACTAGAGTTAAAACTAACTCCCTCCATGGAGGGCTGTGATAGGTTTCCCCTTCCAATTTAATTAAATTATACAACTGTTTATTTCTAGTAAGGATACAGGATTCAGAAGCAACATTCATCCAGGCACTCATCACCTCTCCAGAAATGGGTCCATTTTCATTCTTAAACATGCACATTTCATATGTTAAGGACATACATCTTGCACCTTCATGTGTGGGATGAAATGCTGGATCTCAACTGAGTCACGCTGAATTATTTCAATGGCTCCTCCTTAAGTATGATTAAATCTGGATCCACCCAGATCTACTCATTACTTTTAAGTCAATGTGCATAGAACTGAGCTGTAAATTGCCTTAGGGCACAACCCTACACACAGTGCTTTTTTTGTAAGAAAAAAGGTGCCGAATTCATGAAATTATTTACCTTTCACACATAGTCAATCACTGTCAATTATTTACCTTTCACACGTAGTCAATCACAACACACCCACACACGTCAGTTGTGGAACGAAACATAACGGTCGCCGCCCGCAGTAAGCACTCAGTGCGCAACCACACGACCAATCACAAGCCGAGCAGCGTCACGAGCCGAGCAGCACCATCACAACCAGCGCGAACCAAGCACGCATGCATCGGCTTTGACACACAAGCAGCCCGCATGCACCGTTTTAATGATTTTGCTGCCGACCTGCTACGCTTGACAGGCCGATTCGAATCCACGTGGACCAAACATCACATTTTCAAAAGTTACTTTTAAAACTTGGAAAATCTGTCGAAAAAAGGTGACGGAACTCCGTTCCAGTGCTTTCTATGATAAAAAAAGCACTGCCTATGCATATCTAGACAGGAAAACATCCTACATCTCCCAGCACCACCCAGGAAATGATGGGAGCTGTATGAATTTCTCCTGTCTAAACATTCAGTGGATCACACCTTTAAGGGACAAGCGCCTTCCATGGAGCAAGAGCTTTGCTGGCTCAAGCTAGAGGTGGACGCATGTCAGCGTTCTGCTTGCACTGTGGCCAAAACGGGACATGATGCAGCAGAATCCTTCTGCCTCTCAGCAGCTAATATTTACAAAGAGACTGCCTTTCCTATAGGAGATGATATATAGCCATCATGACTAGCAACCGTCAAAAGCCTAGTAGCCATCCATATGGCTGTTCGCTTGTGAGCTCCTACTCTCTGCAGAAATGTTTACATTTGTGTTAGTGCAGTGGGAGGACTTTTTCCTCGGAGGAAATATATTTCCCTTCTTTTAAAGTTGACGTTAGCAAGCAAAATGATGGAAACAGAAGGAGCTTTTGTCCTGCCCGCATCGAGTCCAAGCGTCCCTTTTCCTCTTCAGAGTCAATCTTGGAGGGAAGGAAAGAGTTTGTCAAATCTGCAGCAAAGGGCTTGTAGCCTGCACAGAGTGGGATGCAGGAATGTGGGAACAGTGGAAGCTGACCCTTTCCAGGAAGGATCATCAGCTCATCAAACCCAGAAAGTAGATCACTAGGCACTTGGACATCAACTGCCAGCTTTCCTGACTATTGGCTGTGCTTGCAAGGCCTTGCTGGAGTTGAAGACCAAACCAGGTCTTGGTCCAGGAGATCAACCAGCAGATCAACCTTCTGCCCACCCCTGGTCTATTGAGGGTTTCAAGCAGGAGTTTCTGCCAGCTCCACCTGGAGATGCCCAGAATTGCCCCTGGAACCATCTTCACTAAGAATATATGCTGCGACATTGAGCCACAACTCCAGTTGTGGTTCATGATCCAGCCATTGAAGACAAAGGAAGCTTCCAGCCAAGGCTTTTATTGTGTGATCATCCTGCCCCATCCACATAATTTGATGGGATCTAGGCACCACCGTCTTTCACTTGCAACCCTCCTTGGTTTCCTGTTTTGCCCATCCTTTTTTTCTAACCTGTTAAGGAAAGAAAGATGGAAAAGTTGCACAAGGTCTGATTGGGAGCCATCAGAGTCATTGGGAGCCACTGGAAGCCTGGCAGTGCCGCAAGGGTCAGAGGACACTGGAGGAGCAAGCAAAGTATGGTTGGGCTCATAGCTCAGGAAATAAATATGCTCGCTTGTGGAAGGACTTAGCAGAGAAGGCTGTGCTGGATGGCAGAAGGGAGGTTGTGCTAAAAACTGGGAATGGGTTTGAAACAAAGCAAGGAGATGAATGCAGAGTTAAGGAGCGTAAAGTTACACATTGGTTGCAAAATGTATGTTGCTTTCTTGCAAAATATTGGAATTCAGGGTAGAAAAAGTTTGTGCCATATAGCACACATTCTAATGAACAGAAAACACTTTCAGTGCTTTTCCTCGCCTTAAATCCTTTCGGTGAGACATGAGACCTTCTAGATCATATATATCATATCACTGAATAATACGGGGCTTGAACAGTGTAATAATAAACTTAACCGTAAGCAAGAAAGGGGCTGCCTTGCTGATGTTCCCAACCTGTACAAAAACACAATCTACAGAGGCATTTTCAGCATACCATCTAGTTTAATAATTCTTTTCTCACTGATGGCAAAGGCAGCTGAGCAAAATTAATGTCCCAAGAGACAAAGGATTTGCTCTTCTGGTTGACACAGATCTTGGCAGGAAACGGAGGACTTGCTTCAGTAGCCTCAGACAAGATCCCATCAATAGTTTTTCATCCTTTTGTTCTAGCCCGGCTGGCCAGACATAGATTAGAGAAGGAAAATGACCTTCACAACAGACATCTGCTGTATTGCATGTAGCCATTGCTAATACTCTCTTGGGATCAATCAGTCAAAGTAAAGTAGTGTTAGAAATCCCAGCCCCGTGTTTCTCTGGAGCTCATGTCTAGAAAATCTTTGCAATATCTAGACATCCCTTCTCCTAGTAAATAGATGACGCTGGACAGAGAGGGAAAATTATATAGAAAAGATATGGCATTTATTTGCCTGTTTGAATTGACCCCTAGGAGTAAGTCTTGGGAGCAAGCCTTGGGTTTGTAACACCCCCCCCCCCCGCCCCGTTGCCACCTCTCCTGGATTGCTTTTGCTTTCTGGGGAACCTACAA